GCAAAGTCTCAAGTTTGTAAATACCACGTGTCCCTTGTCCTTAAGTGTATGACAATCTTTGCTGCTATGACAGTGGCACATGATTTTTGCCTGCTGCACATTTCTTGCCCTGGCTGTGACACAGCATCTCTGCTGTTCTGGGCCCAGCTCAGGCAGCAGTAGCTGTATCCTCCACCCCTGCTCCATGGGTAGGGTAAGAAACACACACGATGTGCAGTTCTTTTAGTTCTGCTGTAGGAGAGGTTTGTGCTTGGTAATGCTAAAGAACTAGGTTTGCTCCTCTGAAGATCCATGGGAATAGTTTGAGACAGGATAAAAAAAGACCTGCTGATCTCAATAACCAGGGCTGTCATCATCCAGCATGAGTGAGGCTGTGGTCTCAAATGAGAAGTGCAATTCTCCTCCCTCTCCTCCCTCTCCTCCCTCTCCTCCCTCTCCTTCCTCTCCTCTCCTCCCTCTCCTCCCTCTCCTCCCTCTCCTCCCTCTCCTCTCTCATGGGAGAACAAGCAAGTTTGGTGAGGAGCAGATCTTCCCACCATGAGCCTGGCTCTCCATTTACTCAGGGGAAAATAAATTGGGAACAAACCTTGTGAGTATTGTATTTGTCCGATGAAAGGTACTGTGGGAAAACATATTGGTATATTTAAATCCCATTTGTGCACTACACAAACCCAAGCACGATGGGGGATTTGACAGAACCAAATATGGGAAAGTGGGCACCAGCCTCTTGTTACTGAGTTCTGCACTAGAACTGCCTGGGCAGAGGTTTCCCCTCAGCTTCCTCTGTGCAGAGGGAGCACCTTCAGTGTGGGAACGTGTCTGGCAGTGCTGTGGGAATATGTTTGGCTGTTGGAATATGTTTGAATATGTTTGAATATGTTTGTCTCTGCCCTTCTACCACTGTTTCCCAGTGATGCCCACCTGTGCATCACTGGTGGGGCAGGGAAGGTGGAACCAGTGTGCTGGCCTCTGGAAAGAGGTGAGGGGTCTCATGGATCTTGGCAAGATCCATGTTACAGCACAGGCTGGGATGCAGTGGAAGAGAACAGGTAGCTGTACAAGGCAATGAGTGGTGGGGGGGACGCATTTCAGTAACTTGATCCACATTCATGCAAGGAGGTGGCCACTTTTTAGTCAGTTAGTCCTGGCCAGATAAATGACTGTGAGTGCAGCTTATCTACAGGAATTCTGGAAGTTGATGGACAGTTTTGGTTAAACCAAGTACTAAATGTAACAGTAGATTCAGTAGATGGAGTAATTTTGGTAAGATGGGTGCTCTAGACACCTGTGATTGTTACTGTTAAAAGGACCAAGGTTATTTAGAAAGACATTTTCTGACTCTTCCTGTGATGGTCTGTTTTCTGAGTGGAGGAAAGTACTGGTTTCAGTGACTGAGTGAAATCCATTCTTACATTTTGGAAGGAGCTAAAATGTTTTTCTTGTTGCTTTTAAGTGGCCATGTCTACTTTAAAGTGATAACCCAAACTGCATCTGACATTTGAGTGTGTGGATGCTGATGTGGGTATACTGCAGTAAGCAGAACTAACCTGGGGACAATGCAGGCTAGAAAATATGAAGTGACGCACTTCACAAAGTAACCCATGCTGCAGAAACCTTCCCTATTCATGCAAGTAACTGTGCTGCCTTTGTGATGCTACAGCTCTTACCTGTGTTTCTGCAGCACATTGTGCTCTGTGCTGCACCTCTGCATATTTCCTTGCCTCCCAAAGGTCTTGTTCAGACTGTGCCAAATGCAACACAAGCCAGAAGCCCAGGTCTTTTATATGAGCCTGCCCTCTCCAGTTCTAGTTCATGTCTTCTTGGAGTTCATAAGAAGGGCCAGTGATGCTGACAGCTTCTTCTTCGGCCAGGCAATACTGGTAACACAGGTGCCATTGTGATAGAAGCTGATTTCCAGGTAGGGGCGTTCACTGAATCCTTTCAAAGAAGTGCTTCAAGTCACTAAATAGTTTTGATACTGCTGCTATTACTATTATGTCCATTTCATCCCTATATTTGAAGATAATTTAGAAGTGGATTTCTTCATCATCTTCCTCTGGCCAACTCATTTCCTGGCCTTGCTGACCTACTTGTGAGTCCCTGAGAGTCTCTGCCCTGTGACACTCAGAGTTCACTAGAGCATCCCTCATGCTTGTTGTGTAACAAAGCCACAGCTGTTTCCTGGTCTCTGGGACCCTGTGTCCCTGCAGATGGAATGACAGTATTTGCCTCAGTGGATGTTATTCAGTATTTTCTTATGTTAGCAAAAATTACCAGATTATGAGCTGTCCTCAAGCAGCACATTGTCAAGGATGTCAGCACAATTGAAAGTAAGTGATAGCAACGAGGACAGCCCTTCTACTTCTGGGCTGTCTGTCAGAACAAGCCATGCAGTGAAGTTATAAGTGGGAGTCCTTATTTTATGCTGTGTCTTGCCAGCATTCACACAGGCCAAACACTGTTGTCAGAGACACTTCTGAAGAAATTAGGTGGGTTTGTCAGCTGTGTAAAGCCTGGATCAAAGAAAGGTCAAGATGCATGAAGCTGGAATTAGCTAGAAAGGAGAGACACTTATGAAACAATGGGATCATTAAAATCCCTGACTTGTTCTTTGGTTTGATAGTTGTGCAAAATTTCTCCTTTAAAGCTTTATGGGTACATAACAATCTCAGCTTCCTTCTAACTCACTACTAAACCCAGCCTGGACTCTCATGAAACATTGTACTTCTACATGCTAGAGAGGCTCACCCAGTGCTGTCTAATAGGGGTTCATAAAATAAAACAGCCAAGTCATCCTGACTTAAAAACTCATGTGGTGAGGATGTTGACATCTGTTCACTGTGGTAGCTTGATGATTAGAACAGTCATTCAAGAGCTGAAATAATGGCTGAGCTTTCACTGCCCTAAGGTAGCCTACATCTCTTAGGAGAATGTCCAAACTGCTGTTGCGGGAGAGAAATGTGTGCATGGTCTCTATGCATCCTTTGGAAACTGTCAGTCCAAAAAAATCAGGCTTTGCTGGGCCAAAACAAAAGTGGGAATGTGATTCTTCAGCTCCTGCAATAGTGACAAAGAATCGACTATTTTGGGAACTAGGCTCAGGTTAAAATATTAGGTACTGTAACAAACATGGGAAAGGGAAAAAAACCCAACCTTATATCCCCCTTTTTCATTGTTTTCCGTGGTTTGACTTGGTCAGATTTCTACTTGCTGTGCTGAAGTTTTTCAGTTCTCCTCTCCAACACTGCTCACAGAGCTTCCAGCTCCCAAGACCTTGAGAGCTGGGCATCTAGAGACTAGACTGTTGCAGTCTCAACTTTTGGGGCTTAAATCCCTTGTGGATTTAGTGCTTTGTTTTCACCTGTAAATAGGAGACAAGAGCATTGTTTTAACTCACAGAAGCCTTGCAAGGATAGATAAAAGTAGTATTATCACAAGTGATGGTTATCAGAAATGTGTCCTATATAGCCTTCAATGAAAAAATGAAGAGATTATTTATCTGAAGACAGTAAGGTTTAAGTGTGAAAGGCAGGCAAGTTATTAACAGGAACTCTTTAGGAGGTGTAGAGAGGGGAAATTTACCTTTTGAGAAGGGAAGGTAGTCAGAAGCAATTCTTAAGCAATTCATGCATAGAATAACACTATTCAGACCAGGGCAGGACCTCGCCTAACATTTGTATTTGCCTTTTTTTGGGGTCATTTTTGTACTTCCTGATGAAATTTTAAAATATACAATCACAGTCTAATGTAGTGTTTATAACAGACACTCAAAAGCACTTGCTTTAGCAGTGTGAAATGACTTGGCTTACTTATTTGTAGGAAGGGGTAAAAGAGAAGTGCTTCAACTGGGGAGAAAGTGCTTCAGCTAAGCAAAACCCATGGTATTTAAAAGGGATTGTGAGAAACAAAGCAGCTAAAATATCCTGAAATTATATTACTGGTGGATTTCACTCTAAAGAGTGTATGAAAATACATTTAATCATGCTTGTGGAATTGGGCAGTGGATTTAGCCAGCTACAGGTCTGCTTTATTTAAACACACTTGAAGTTTGGGGTAAAAGATTTTGAAAGGGGAAATTGAAACAAACTAAACTCTCTGCAATTAATAGGTAAAATGCCATTTGGTTGGAAGAAGCATTAGTGAGATCTATGGATGTGTGAGCAGCTGGGAGTTGACACTGAAAAGTAGACAGTGTGGTGGCCTCCCGTAAGGGCTCTCCTTAGAAATGAGTGCCTCTTGATCTCATGTGACTGGCCAGCCTTTCTTCCAAAAGCCAGAGGGTTTCTGCAGCTGTGACAGGAGCCACCATCTCCTGCTGCCTGCCAATGCCCAGGGAGCAGCACTGCTGTCTGTCTTGGCTCAGGTGTAGGTTCGAGTTGGCAATCATAAAAAATGTGGCATGCACAGCCCCAGCAAGAATGGAGGCATGAATCCTGCTCTTTTTTCTTTTTTCTCTCTCTCTTTAATACTGTTTGAATCTCCTTCTGGCTTGTATTGCAAACAAGGAGTTCCTTCTGCCAGTGTAATTGCTCTCCCTTAGTTTGGAGTGCTGTGCTGCACACAAGTATTTGAGCTTGCGTGGCCAGCAGCGAAGGCAGTGCTGAGAGGAGCCCCCGTGTCTGCATTCAGGGAGGAGAGGTCTTGCTCCTGTGTGGGTTTGGCCACCTTGGAAGAGGCCTCACATTCAAACTGAGTGCCATGTGGATCAGTCCATGTGGCACAAAGGGTAACAGTGTGGTGGATCTGTCCTCAGTCAAGAGATGAATTTTAGCTGCTTAACCATTGTGTGTTTTATTTATGCTCTGAGTAATTAACACTTCTTTAAAAATAAAAATTTACTTAAATTAAAACCAGGAATAATCCTATTGACTGCAGTGGGAATGATATCTGGGAAAATTGTGCAGGGGCTGAGGCAGTTGTGATTGGGCTGTGAAATGAGTATTTCCCCTAATGCAACCATAGCTTTGACTAATGTCTAACTGATGTGTTTTTTCAAACAGATACTAATTTTGTCTTGGGTAATGCCCAGATTGTGGATTGGCCCATTGTGTACAGCAACGATGGATTTTGCAAGTTATCAGGATATCACAGAGCAGAAGTTATGCAAAAAAGCAGCACCTGCAGGTATTTGAGAACAGATTTATTTTCTGTTAAATAGCTTGTAGTGTTGTGCCTGTTGCTTGAGGAGAAAAGTAATCTGTTTATTCCAGTTTTGTCTTTTATCTCCTGGGGCTACGTCTGTCAAATATGTTTTCCAGGTGAAACAAAATCAAAGAAGAGCCATTTCTAAATAGGTCTCTTTTACAGGGTAAACAAATGGCTTTGTGTCTTTGTCTGGTATCTGACTTGAATTTCTCCATCTATTTGCAGTTTTATGTATGGAGAGCTGACAGATAAAGATACAATTGACAAGGTCCGGCAAACATTTGAGAACTATGAGATGAACTCCTTTGAAATCTTGATGTACAAGAAGAACAGTAAGTAGTCAATTGGTTTGTTCATTAATGTAGGTGTGTAAAGTTGTTAATTACAGTGTAAACTGCAATTCTGTCACCCTGGAGGACAGTGCTTTATCTAGGGCTAAATAAGCCCCAGTTCTGCCACTTGATCTGAAAGGAAGAAATGAGAACATTAGAGATGAAAGTCACTCAGGGAGGGAGAGGAAGTTTTCTAATATGTTCTGACATTTGGAGTAATTTGTCTGTGATGCTTTAAGACAACACTGAAGATCCCATCAACAATGTAGTACACAAGCTAGGTTTAGGCAAGTTTCCACTACAGAGAACATACTTTCTTAGTTTTTACCAACCTGATATAGCAAAGCCAGTATATAGTAATTTTGGAATAAAAAGAACCCATCTTTTGTTTTAGAAACTAAACTAATTCTGATGTTTTCAGATGAAATGTCTTTTGTCTTGGACAAAAAAAATCTTTAATTTGCATATGATTTTTTTCCTAGGAAATTCAGTCTGTCTGTAAGTGCACATATCAGCAGATGAGCTACTTGCCCCAAACTTGGTGTATCATCTAGTGGACTATGCCATGCAGTTATTTTCATCTACTTAATGAAGATGAAAATACTAAATCTACTTAATCTGTGTCACCTAAAGTGTAAATACACTGAGATCTTCAGCCTAGCCAGATGTTAACCTGAAATAATTGCATTCTGTAACTTATTTTGCTCTTAACATTTTTGCCTTCTAATAATGAAGCTGGTACTGCCTGTATGCAGAGTCTCTATGACCCTGCTTTGTGCTGCTTTCCTGCTAGGGCTACCTGCCTCCAATATTTACCTATTTTCTAAAAGCTGATTTCTGTTCCTAGCTCAGCTTGTGGCCGTGGGGACCATATGCAGCTCACATCTATGCATCCAAACCCAAGTAAATAAGCTGCAGTCCTGGGATCTAGGAGAGTCTGGAATTCTCTCTTAGTTATCAGTGATTTGGCACCAAGAGACGATGCAGCTACTCTTCTGTCATGCTGCAGCATATGGCCTGCAGTAGAGCCTGGGGCCTCTCTGTCTTTTATGCAGATTTAAAGCAAGGTAACCGTGGAGTGAGGAATATTTCCTGCCCTGCTGTGCACTCCTCCCAGAGGTGGCCCCGAATGAAGTGCAGCTGTGCCGTAGCTGTGCTGTGTGATGAGCTGCCATGGCTCTGCTCTGGACACAGAGGGTCACAGGCATGGGAAAAAGGAAAGCACTGAGCTTGCTTTCAAGTTTAACAAACTGCAGAGCACCTAATGTTTGCTAGATTTGCAGCTTTTGAGATACATTAACTGCTGTTACAGAGATTGACTAATAACACTAGAGAGTTTTCACTGAAAAATACCAAAAAGGGAACATCCCGGAACTTTTTCTCAATATAAGCCACATCACAGATAAACATTGTCCTATTTACCAGTCACTTAGCACCCAGACTGCTAAGTGGCCTTTTCTTTGTGGTCACCTTACCTCTGCCTGCAACTATGGCAATAGTTCAGATAATGAACCTGATAGGTTCTAACCAGCTCTCAGTTTGAAATCTTGGGAAAGGACCCTCAATGTTGTCAGATATCTTTTTTCCTGCTCTTTGTTTCTTCTGTTTAGTGTCTCTGTTATTTCCTCATTCTATTTTTCTTTTTCAAATTAGCCAGGGAAATAGATTTTTCTTGTTCTTTACCTGTCTACTGCCTCCTTATAAACTAACAGACATGACAAATAGCAATTTTTTTTCCCAGTTTTGAGTTGTTGGATAATTGGTACATTTTCCACAGCCTGCACATTTAATGTAATTCTGGCTGTTTTAACAGTACAGTCTCTATCCTTTTGGAGGAAAAAAGGAAAACAAAATAGGAGTTTTGAGTTAATAATGATGTATGTAGTGCAAGTCAATCTTGTACTTTTGGGAGCAGCAGCTATTTTTTTCTTTTGCTGAGAAACAATTATTCCCTGGTCTTACATGTCAAAGCAGATTGATATTTAATGATGCTACTAGAAGTGATAGGCTATTTTTTTACATGGCACTCTCCATGGTCATGAGCCAGTGTTAGTATTTACTTGGTTTAATAAGAGTACCCCATCCAGCTGTTGATAGGTATAGTATACCCACAGATTTCATTACAGTTCACAGTATTAACTCTAGAAACAACATACAGTTTCCTGCCTTCATTATGTTTGCATTTATGGATGCTGCCTCTACCCTTGCTTTGTCCAGTCCTCCTCACATCCAAAGGTGACTATACTCCCTGTTTTCAGAACTTGAAATTAAGATGTGATAGAGATTTGATGATTCCTTGGGCTAGGCCCTGGATAACTTAGCAGATATGTAAAAATCATTGTTATTCCCTGATTCCCTGGGAGAATTGCTTCCCAGAAATACAGAGCTTCTTCAGGATAATTGGAAGCAATTAGAGCAAACAGGAGCATAGCCACCAGATTTTTGTCTTTGTTGCTTTGATGCCATCCAGTTGCATTCAGTGGGGATTCATTGTCATACCTGGAAGGAGAAAAAGTGAAAGCTTTCTTTAATCAGGACTGCAAAATGACAACAGAAAGACTGACAGTAATTTCACATGAAAGCTTCAGTTCCATTGTTTAATTAGATGTGAGCACCCAGTGATGCTGGAAGTATTGTTTATTTTTATATGGGAAAATTAAAACATTACTAAATCTGAAGTTAGTGGAGATAAATTAACTTATTCCAAGGAGTGGTACAGCTAGTGTATTAGAAAATATTTTATATTTAGACTTAGTCATATCTTACCTTACCTGAATTGCTGTGTTTTAAGCATCTAACTTCTTATGAGACTTTGTCATCCATTTGTTTTTACACTTTATGGTCAGTCTCATGAGTTAAAAATGGCTGAATAAATTCAGCTTGGATTTTCTTTATTTTGTATTTCATCTACAATGTAGGTCTGACATACAGGCAGTGCAAAAGTAGGCTTGTTCTATATGCACTTGCTTTCATTATTGATGAAGTAAATTTATGTAAGAATACAAAATTCACTTGCTTCTATCTGCCTCTGAAGAGGTGATGTCCAATTGAAATCTAACCCCTTTTTCTATGCAGTACTTGACCTACTTTAGTGGAAGAATATTTGAAGTGGGGTGAACTCGTCCAAGGTGAAGTGCACCAAGAGTTAGAAAGAGTCTTTAAGTGTCCCCTGTCTGAGCAGAGGCATTCCCATTGCTTATGGTCTGCAGCTGTGCTGCAGAGGGAGTGTTAAGACACCTCTTTTTTTTTTTGTCTCAGAAGTTCTCTACTGATAGGACCAGCAGAATGCTTGCCAGAATGCTGACTTGGCTGTAGGTAACTATTTTGCACACTGCAGTGCAGTTTGGTAAAGCAGTAGCTCTTTGCTGAGTAGATATATTATGGTGAAAGTCCCAAAGGCTGGGATACACTTTCAATTTGTGCTGGGCTTCACTTTCTTGTTTTCTGGGTGCTTGAACATTTAACAAATTTAATAGCATTAATATTTGTGTGTGTTTTTATTTTAACATGTGCACCATCTTCTCCCCTCCTTCCTTCTCCCTTTTTCCCCCAATGTATTTGAAAGCCTGCAGATGTCAGAGAATGACAAATCAACCTAAAATAGTGATTTGGTAGATTCTACTTGCATTTATCTTTGGGACCAGTGCTTTCTATAGTGATTCAAAAGCAAACAACCCCATCCTAATTTATAGGCAGCAAAATTCACTTCAGGGTGGTAGACCTGTGATTTCCCACCACTAAAGAGTTTCTCATAACTGTCACTTGTTTGTTTCAATTTCCCCTTTCAAACCATCTAAGCCCATTTATACTTGTGTGTGCTGTGCCTGGTGTGTCTCCAGATGGAAACCTTTGCTAACCCATGTTGTAGCAGAGGAAGAGAAGCAGGAAAGAATGAGGGTGCTGGAGTCAAGTGACATGTATCCTCCTCACCCTCTCACTGCAGTGTAGCTCCTTTATTTGTCAAGCAGTGTGCACACGTGCATCTGCTGTGAAATCCATCTGTGTGAGTTCAGTTACCTTCAGCAAGGTCAAATGAGGTATTTTGGACTCTGGTAATTCCCATTGGTCATTGTCTTCAAATGTGTTGGCAAGCAAGGCCACCTGTCATCTCCACAAATATGTACAGAATTCCCAGTAGTAATTCTTAAGTACTTTTCCTGGCATAAATGGACAGAAGATCTCAAAACTTTACTGTGTCTTCTGTATACTCATGTTCTGTTCTTCAGAGAGCTCAGAATCAGGTGAACAGTGCCAGCACTATTGCAGCACAAGACTGTGTGCTGAACTTTGTTTTCTACTGTGCTGTTTCAGTGTCACAGAGTAACCCTTGTGAACAGCAATTCCACCTTTGGGGACTAAAATTGATTTTTCTTATCTTAGTATGTAAAGATCTGACCTTTAGAAGCATTAGGTGCCATGGCATCCCAGCACCAGAGAGAGAAGACACAAAGGTAACATCTTTAAAAGTGGTGGGAGTGTATTTTAAAGGTTTACTCTTTAAAAGAGTGGTGAGCTGCAGGTTGAGTTGGTCTGTTCTCATTTGGTACACTCTCTGCTCAAAGCTAGAGTCTATAGGAAGACTTTTGTTCTTTGTCTTGCACGGTCAGATGTCATGGGCTTCTCTGAACACCTGGTTAAAATCTGTGTGGGTATAATAGCTTGCTAAACTCTCTGTGATCACACCTCATCAGCTGGTTTGCTAGTTTGACATTGGACAAACTGTTCAGTCTGTGTGGGATAGAGAGAAACAATCTCATACTGAGTACCTGGGGAGAAGTGATACTCTAAAAGGGGTGGCTGTAATGGCCAGCCATGCTGTTAATATAACTTAATTCCTGCTGTCTGTATTGCTGCATGTAGGAATTGGTGGAGAAAGGGCACATGTTTCTATTTCCATACTGCTAGACTGTTTCTCTTCAGGACAAAGTGTGTCTGATGCCTGTTTGACTGAGTCATTATCAAGTAATGCGGAGGTTGTGCTGCTTAGAGGAAACTTGTCCCATTCATTAATGGCAGTGTAGATGTCAGCTGAATTGTCAAAACATTTTTTTCCATTGTATTTTACAATTAATTTTGGTTTAATTAGTGGAAAGACAAATTGTGTTTCCAGTTTTATTGAAAGTATGCTTTTTGTAGTTTTGAAAAACAGTTGGCATCTTTGGTTAAATGGCTCAAGGTATGGGCAAAGAGCACATTTAAACAGTGGTCTGGATTTTCATACAGCCTATTTTTGTTTGGCAGGAGGGAAAACTTAGGAGAGCTCAGTGGTATACTTATGGAGAAGCTGGAAGAGAACTTTAAGATCTCTTTCAGTTTGATGTGAGAAGTTCTGAAAGAATTCAACCAAAGTTAAGTAGCATGTGAAATGCTGGTGTTCCTGCCCAGCAAGAACATAACATATCATTGTTGAAAGACACAGGACTGGAAAAAAGGATAGGGAAGAGATATTTGTCTTTCAGATGGGAAATTGAAAGGAATTCATACATTTAGGATGTGTTAGTCTGGAGAAGACTTGAGACTTGAATAACAGCCCTTAAAATTGTCTTTGCTTTAGGGCAACACCATAAGTACTGTGCTTAGGCCATAAAATCCTATCAAGAGCTGCACCTGTTGATTCTGGATTGGCTGCGTAGCTTTGGTACCACGAGCGAGGCTGGTCCTATGGCTACTGTCAGGCATTCATTGTAGATTTTCATTTCTTCTCTGTTGTCCATACTGCTTGTCCTGCAGCTTTGAAGGGGCATTTCCTTTTCTAGCATGATTGGTGCTTTGCCACTAGACAAACACTGGATCCTCTCGCTGCTGATTCCAAACCTAACAGAAGCCAATGTAGCTCACGAGTGTTTACTTTTTTGTTTGTGCACGGGCATTATCACTGAACTTTACCAGTGAGAGAGGTTGCCAGGACTAAAGACAAAATTTAAATGGGAGTAGATGTATTGCTGGAAACACTGGTAAACACTTTCTGAGTGCCTGTGCATCAGTGCAGACTAGGAAGTTATTCTTGTTTTGCTGTGAGAACTCTGGAACATGCTGCAGTTTCACTGCCTGAATAACCACAGGCTGAATCTGAAAATCACATTTTTCATTAAAAGGGCCGTTTTTGTGCCTCTTGCTAGTTATGGTTGTCTGGCTGAGCAGAGATGTTGGCTTTGACACCAAGAGCATGAGGGCTGCCTTTAGGACATTGAAATTCTGTTTTCTGACCTGATTTATAAGTAGTTTATACTTTAGGATTTCCTGTTTAATAGTTAAATAAACTGTTTAAGAAGTAAAATTCTTCTGATAATTAAACTGGTATGCAGCACAAAAGCTGAGCATGGCCACTTCTTGGCTGAGCCATTTGGTGTGTTCCCACGTTTCAGATCTCAGTTCTGCTGTGAATGAGCTCCTGGTTGCAGAGCACTGTGGAAAGCCCACTGTGAGCACTCACCTCATGGCTGTATTTTTATATCCACTTGTCTCCTATTCACAAGAGAACGCTGACAAGATGTTAGGGAATGCACAGCAGGGAAAGTACAATGTTGTGGAGGCAGATACAGAATTTTCCATCTTCTTATTTCTGTCTTTGTAGTGTTACAGTGTAGATCCCAAACTAGAAGATGACTTCTGCAGGTCCTGTGTACCATTTTGATTTTGCATTTTGCTCTGATAGTGGTACTCTGGAAATTACAAGGGTACCCAAATTGTGCATTTCATCAAACACGCCTACTTTTAGCTTTCAAGAACATCTGGCTCTATCTTTTAGCCTATGGGGTGTATCACTAAGTTATACACTTTGTTCTAGGTAAAAAAGTGTTTTGTCTTCCTTCTTCCTATAAATAATGCAACACATGAGTGGGAGTCAAGGGAGTCAGAAAGTAAAAACCCTGCTGATAAAAGCTCCTTGCCCTGCAGCAGCCTTCGACAGGTTATTGAGAAAAGTCTTCTTGCTGCATTCAGAACATGTTTGGAAATTCTTGCAACAACATCCTCTAGCATAATCATAAAGGGAAGGTGACATCATGCATCTGACAAATAGCCAGGCTAGGAGGGTGAATTGCATCCTTTCTGTGTTGAGTACAGCATCTTCAAAAGCACAGTAGTAAGTTTTTATAGCTATGAGAGGCAGAGAAGAAACTGAGTGTCTAATTCAGCCTCGATGGTTAATATTGTGAGCAGCCTGTAGCAGAATAGAGCCACACTTGATGTAGTAAAACAATACAAAGTGGTTTGGGGAGGGGAAAAAAAATCTGTACTCAAAAAAAGTACACGTAGATAAAGATCAAAAAGCAAGGCTCTTGATGGCAATCCTGTCTGATTAAAAAGTTGCAGTGTTAGTGAAGGGTGTTGAAGTGGGTTAAATGGAAAGCAGTTCATCATCAAGGAGGCTCAGTAAAAGCAGGATATGGATTTGATCAGCCTCAGAATAGTTCACATGTGAAGTTGGGAAAAACAAGTAGGCAAGAAGAAATTGAGCTAGGCAATTTTAGGAGCTCTTGAGAAAGGGTAGTGTAAAGGGTGTTACTGTCTAGAAAATTGCTGTTGGCTGCTTTGTGGCAGTGTCTTCTAAGCTCATTAGCAAGTTAGTGATGATTTTACTGGCACAGTTACTTTGCTGAATCTTCTTTCACACTTAGCATGTTTGTTTGTCCATGCTTTTTAGGAAGGAGTTGTTCAGGAATGTTAACTCTTTAAAAAAAACAAAAGAGTATGTTGACCCTTGAATACTTTCTGCCATGCAGGCATATTTCAGAAATGGCCACCAGTGATTCCATCTGGATTTCTCTGCTTTTTGAGCAGAGGCCTCCATGCATCATAGACCCTGCTGTTTATAGAAATGGCTGTACATATGGCATGGAATCTCAGCCAGAGTTTGAAAGTGCTTGTGTGTTATGCAGGCACAGTGGGAGCCTTAGGAATTGAACCTGGTTTATGGAAGCTGTCCATGGGTTTTGGAGATGCCCTACCTTTCTGTAGCCAGAAAAGATTGCTCAGCACTGAGGCTGGGAAACAGCCAGGTGAGGCACTGGTAACAACACTCTCTCTTATATTAAAATAGGTGGGAAAAAAGTTGCCTTTTTTTCCTTTTTTGGACAGCAACTTGTAAGATACCTGAGGTTTTCTTGTGACCCTTTGACAGCCAGGAAACACAAGCTGCCCTTTACTAAAAACTATTGCATGAAATATACCATGTCACACTCATGTTAAAATACTGAGCAATTCAGGTGAAAGAGAATTTGATTACTAGCACAGAGAAGGGTTCTGTGACTGAGAAAGAAATGAAATAGTCTTCTAAGATCACTCTTTCTAAAATAGACTTTGCCACATGAGTGACAAAGATTGTGTGGTGCTCTTTCTTCTGGCTTTCCCAGAGGGTCAAGCTCCTGCTGATCCTGATCTTATTTTGGCCCCTGGTATGTAGATCCTTCTCTCCTAACAAATCTCAAAAAGGACACATAAAAAAAAAAAAATTGCTCTCAGCAAGCAAGCCTAAATCCTCTTTGTCTCTTACTTCTTGTGCTTGCAAAGGCAATGATGAGTTGTTTTCATCATCTCTGAGGGTGTAGGGACAGTCTGAAAACCCATGTACAAACTCCCTGAAGGCTGAGATCTGGAGTGTCCCTACTGTGATGTACCTCAGAGTTGGAGAAGTTATCTTTTTTGTCTAAAGTTAAGACTGCAGACCTAAAAATGGTGCCTTCAGGGAAATCATGTTATTGCACACAGGAGCCAAGTGCTTTGTTCTGAGCCCTCCAATCAGCTTATACTCAAATATCACTAAAATCTGTGGTGAGTTTTGTGAAACAAGTGGTAGACACTGCCTTGTTACATGGAACTTCATTGGTTTCACTAGGGTCTTCTTAGCAGTCTCAGGAGAACTGTCAGAAATATGGAAAGGCAGGGCTGACTGACGGATTCTCTCCTCAAGGTGATCTGTGTGGGTAGAGGTCAAGGAGGAATGGCAGCAGCAGCATCTGAAGGGTCGTGTTTTGGGACCATCTTTTTCTGCAATGTGCAGACTTTAATCTCTCAAGCAGTTTTAATTAGCAGTTCATCTGCTGCAGTAATTAGAAAAGTGCAGTTCTATGCAGTACAGCTTGATCCCATCCACAGCTTCATGTGTTCTGGTCCTAGTGGCTTATTCACTCCTGAATTCAGTGGAGTCTTGCTTCACACTGGAGTGATTTGGAGCAGGCTCAGGCCAAGGCAAGCTGGAAAGCAGCTTGTGAAGGTTTTCCCTTGCATGGGAGGGATTTGCAGGCTGGGCCAGAGCTCCCAGAGCCCAGCTCTGAAGCTAGACATAGGCTACTATAGTAGTTAGGGCATGGTCTTTTTTAGGGCATTCCTTGTTGGCAGGGAATTAAAAAGTTGACCAAACTGGTCATATTCCTGAATTGAGACTCTGTGTTATGCTCACATCCTAGGCACAGCTGGCCTGTTCTCAAATCCTGTAAGAACCAGCAAGACACTCTTGTGTGCAGCCTTTCCACACATGGCACTCTTCTTCCAGGAGATCACAAAGCAGTTCTTAAGTTCAAATGTTAACTTTGCAGGTGAAGTTTAGAAATAGTTTGATTCCTGGAAGATTAAAAAGCTAAGAAGAGACAGAGCAGAGAATGTAAATAACAGACTTGTCAGCTGCTTTGTTATTTTTCCAAATAGGTGTTTGTAAAAAAAGCCAACATTAAAGTAACTTTTACAGATGGCTGATTTGAGATGTAAGCATCTAAACTGGCACGTTTACTGTACTGCCTGCCATTGACCAACTCTTTGATGTGTTTGTTTCCAGGAACACCTGTCTGGTTCTTTGTGAAAATTGCTCCAATTCGAAATGAGCAAGATAAAGTGGTTTTATTTCTTTGCACTTTCAATGACATAACGGCTTTCAAGCAGCCCATTGAGGATGATTCATGTAAAGGTTGGTCTTTTTCACAATTATATATTTATGCTCCTTTTGTTTGTTTGCCCTGGTCTTGAAAGAGCTGAAATCCTTTAAATACCCAAGCCAAAGAATTACATGTTAAAATAGCTTGTAGCTGTGCCACTGGGGATGGACTTTGTGCAAGAAATGGTTGCTGATTTCTTTAGTGAAATTGTTCTGGCCTGCACTGGAAAGGGTCATTGCTAATGAACGCCCCAGGTGCTTCAGAATGCCCAGTTTACATAGTAAATAGGTACTGTTCTTCTTTTAAAATACACTGTTAACCTACTCTCCAGCATAGCCCTCAAGGATTCACAATGTTGCTCAACAGCCCTGTACAGATGGTGTGTGAAACTGTATGCAAAAACTGAGGAATCAATCCTGGTTGAGTCTAGCAAAGATCATAATAATTAAATTCTGCCTGACTCGATCTTGCTTGTCATTATTATGGGATTTGTTATGTTAAAATCCTGTTCTAGTTTCCTTTAGCCTATGTGAAGAGATTCCAGTTATCTTAAGTGGAATCAGGTTTAAGCTGTCCTAGTGGGTGAAGTAGCACTGCAGTGTTCTGCTCTTAACCCTTTGCTGAGCTACAGCCTGGAAACTTGGAAGCAAGCTCAGCTGTGACAGCAGCATAAACTTTCACTCAGGTTCAGATTCCATCAGAAATAGACCTTTTGTACCCTATGGAGAATTAGAGAGTCTTGCATCCTCTGGGGTAAAAAAGGATGTAAGTTCTCCTGTTGTTTGCATTTCTGTAGTATTTAATAATATTTGTAGTATTAAATTAAACAGGAAACTTACTGTGAAGATGAACTGATTTACGTTTGTTCTCAAATTGTTATTCTTTAAAAACATAGTTTCTCAAAAGTGGAAACACCTGTTACCATGAAAAAGGAAGTACAACCTTGACAAACATACCCTCTTTCAGTCTGTGTGGGTAATTTTTTTCTCCTGTTAATGCTATTTGCTTGGTTCCTTACTGCTTTAATAAAATCAAAAATCTTAGCTTGTCAGAAAGTTTGGGTCTATTTTTTCCCTGCCTAATGGTGCTCACTGTATACTGATGAGGAGTGACAGCACAGATAAATAAGGATGATGCAGTAAAGCTGGCTCTCATTTATTTGCTGGTAGTGAAGGCCCTTGCTTCATTTAGTCAGTTGATAAGCAGGACTTGCAGTCAGGAGTGGTAGCTGTGTCCTCCTGCTTTCACAGGGATTCCCTAATGTGGGAGAGATAGGGAGTTCATCCTTCACTTTCAACACAAAGAAACACTAACTTTTTTTTTTCAATACAAGTGTGTTGGAGAAAGGGAATGCTAATTTACTTTTTCTTTTTAAATTTCCTTTGTATCTTGAAATTATGCTGTTCTTGCAGTGAGCATGGTAATTCTCAGTGGTTGCAATCTACAGCAGTATAGGCACTAAACCTACACATAAATGCATGGACTTGCAGAGGAGTTGATGATAAGAAGAATTTCTCCCTCTGGCCCAAGGAAGCTGGCAAAGTGACTACCAGAGGTTGCAAACAGAAGAACTGAATGTATTATTTAGAGGCCACTGGTTCACAGCTCTGCACTCTTTCCCTGAGTGCTATGTCTTTATGTACAGAAGGGCTTGTGCACTAAAATGAGTCTTCCGAATATTATTTCTGGATCTCCTAAAATTAATAAAGGTGCAGAAGTTCATGCTTGCAAAGAGTTCTCTGTCACTTTATACAGAAATCAAGCTTGATATAAATGGAACTGCACTTTTTGTTTTCATTCTTGATTTATCCCTTTTTCTTCCAAAATATACTTGCTGTAGGAATTTTCTTGAGTGATATTGTATTAATAACCTGATGGCTAGATGAGAAATTTCTTGGAGGAGCTGATTTGTCAAACAGAATTTTACATGTGTGTCCATGTCTTTAATGTTAGATCTCATTGTGCAATTCTGTACTGTGAGAGGGGGAAGAAAAGGCAGGTATGAGGTGTTAGATAATCATCTGTAGTAGGCTCTGGGATTCACAGAGTGGAAAAATTGTTTTGGAAGAACTAAAAAAGGTAAAATTGTGCTAGCTTGTTGTAAGAATCATTAACACACATGAGCTTTGAAGAGGGTATATTCTTTGTGCTGTGTGCAATGTTACACAGGACTTTGTAGCATGCTTTTGGGAGAGGGCAATTTTCTTAGGAATGTTTCTCATATTCTCAAACCAAATGGACTCTCAATCTGAAAAACTAAAACTGTGAACTGAAAACTGATGGCCGAATCAATTATTTTTCCTTCTTTCACCTTCAGTCAGTTTAGCAAGTATTTTCTTTTCTGTGTTCATATGTGTAATCGGTTTCCTATGCTTATAAGTACTTAATAAGCAATAGGTTGCCTGTAGATGCAGATATGTTAATAAAATGTGCTATTTGCACAGTTGCAGGACATTATAGTTTAAAGCATTTAAGGTTTTCAAAATGAATGCCAGTATGTCTATGTAAAGAAAAACACTAAATCGATCATGTTCTTGTACTACATAAAGAGCAGATAATCTGTCAGGCTAAGCCTGCTTAGCTGTGGTATATCTTGGTTTTCTATCACCTGCTGGCAATTTCAAGCCTGATTTTCAGCTGCAAATGATGCAGCTCCTTGAGTGAAAAGTGTAGAGCTGTAATGGCAGGTGTTTGACTATATAAAGATGAATAGGCATCTTTCACCTGAAGGTGACTCAGAGGGATAGAAGGTCCCAGTACCATTTTTCATGCTTAATTTTTTAAATTGATTAATAATATCAGACATTGGAATAGGTGAAACAAGAAAGTTACATTAAAAAGTAGACTTTTCATTGTGACCTTTTTTTAATTGATTCAAGTAATTTAGAAATGTTTATTTTATGATTTCCATGGAAGGTAAGTAAGCTTGCTTTTAAATACAGCAGCTTTAAAATAGTGCATTCTAAATAAAACTGCTTAAAAATAGTGTCAGTGATGTTGATAATTTTTTTAAACAACCTCTTTCCACTTTTTCCCCTTTGCTTGCCCCTTGAAAAAAAGTCAGGGAAACATTAAAGAGGTTTACTTGAATAAAAGAAGGCAAAGTCAAGCTATAGCATAGATAAGTTTGGCTTGTCAAGTGCTAGGTTACCTTCTTAGCTGAATTTTAAAGTTTGTACTGTATTTGGAATTAATGCATTTTGTCTGTATGTCTTGCCTGGTTTAAGATCAAGCATACCATGTATGAGATGCTTGAGAATTAAGTATAAAGTGGAATGCATCGCTTTATGCAAAGCAATTATTTGTGCAGACAAATAGAAACTGTACTTTGAGTGGCTTGTTACAAGTTTGCCTCAACAGGTTTTGAATGTATGCATACAAGGTGAACATATCTAGAAGGATCTATGCTGTCTCATAAGAGCTTGAAAACTAAGCTTTGGATCCTAATTTTTGTTTTTGATACTTCATTTATATACAAAGAGGCAGTCAAATTCAGCATTGCTGAATCAACCATGCTGAATGGTTGTTGTCCTCCAAGATGATGTAGCCTTCTGTGCTTTGTAGCAATCATCAGTTGCTGTCTCCTCTGCAGAAGATGCTTTATTTCATGTTGCAGCTAAGCTGTCCTTCGCATAACAAGCAGGAGTACAGACACAAAAAATATTTTGTTTGTATCCTTCATCTTAATTCAGGGGAAAATTCACGTTTCCTCTTTTTTTAATCTTTTTTTTTCTGGAGGTTTTTGGGGGGGATTTTTGGTACTGTTTTTAAAGATATATTTATACGAACGGAGCCAATGTTTGAAATATTTTGATTAAGATATACTCTGCTTTTGTCTGGATGAAATGTTTTCTTAAAAAGAGGAAACAAATGAAGGGGAAGTAGTGAGTATATTAAAAACTTCAGTATGCTTTCTCAGTCCAGATGGAAAAATAATACTGTTTTAGTCATGAGTTTTCAAAGAGAAGGAGCACTGAAGAGAACTGGATTGATGTAAGCAAGGATCTTTCATGTGTGGGAATACAAAGGTGGCTTGAGTGGAGGCAAGAACTGCTGGAATCTTGATTTATTCACATTTACACAGTGTGTTAACAACAGACCCATGAACAAACAAGCTGGTTCTCTAGCAGACAATGGTTTCTTGTTCTGACTCTCTGAATTGTGTAAGTCATGGATCAGCAATGTGGTAACAAGGGTTCTCTAACTGACACAGTTCCCAGTGTTTGAATTCTTGAGTTATCAAGAATGAATTGAGAAGAGTGGTTGGAAACAAATAGCTGCCTACAAATAAATAATAAGTGCTTTGTGCTTGAGTATCAACTTAAAAATACAGAAAGTTCAACTTAAGGCCATTGTTAAATGAAACTTTGTGCTTTAAAGAAGAAAAGTTTTGATGCCATAGCACAAAAGTATATTTCAATGCCATATTTCCACATGAAACAAATCTCATGGGACAGCTTTTGTAATCATTTTGTCTTGGGTGTTATCAGAAGCAATTTCTATTTATCTTTTTGCAAAAAAATGGTGGAAAACTGAAAGATCATGGAATGCAGGAGTGCTGAAATCAGTGCTGTTACTCTTGAAGGCTTTCCATCCTTTTGAAGCTGGAAATGTTTTAATGTCATCACATTGCTTTGTCTGTGCATTATATTTTCTGCAGAACTGAAAAAAGAGACCAAACAATGATAAAAATGGGTTAAAATCAAAGACAGTGCACGGGCAAGCACTACCATGGGGTGGTATCCAGCTTTATGTTTGGTTCCTGAATTTCAAGCTGTCTTGTCTTCTTTCTGAGCTTATCTTGTTTGAGGATTATATTTGCCTGTATTAGAACCACCTAGGATCACTAGATTTTAAATTTAATTTATATTTTCTCTGTTTCTAGAGGAAAACAATGGATGCAGGGCTATACCAACTGCTTGTATTGAAAGAGAATCCCAGTCCATATCATCTGGTCCCTCTGATTTAGCAGGACTGACACCAATATATTCTTACACCATTTTGACGCTTAGTTCCTTGCCTTGGAAAGCTCCATGACCCTTAAAGTTTAGTGTTTATGTTCAGTCCTATGGCTTAAGTCCATTACTGGGTCTGTCTTTGTTGGATAGATAACTGACCTGCTGTTGGCTGTGTCTGTCCTTAGGGTTCTGGAGGAAAAACTGAAATAAATTCAATAGGTACTGTTGTCTTTTCAGGCATTATTGGAGATGTTATCATTCAAAAGGTTTAGTACTGGCATTCTATTTATTTTCTTTTTTTCTATGCCACAATCTGCAGGTCTAACTGTATGTTGGAGTTGCCACATTTTTATCTTTTTCTTCCACAAATACCAAAACCCCAAAAGGCAATACAAGGAGGAAGGTGTTGTGTGCTAAAGGTGAAATTCTTACACGTTGCACATGGATTCGGTGCTTGGTTTTAGGCAAACCATGGCACAGTGGTGGGAGTATCACCAAGCTGGGCTCCCAAGTGTGGTACCCTGTGTGTGGAGAGAAAAAGGGTATGTACTCCTAATTTGTGTCCACACCGCTTTAAAAAGCCAAGCTGAAAAGTGACACGATCTCTTGCCTAGAACAGTTATATTGCTTTCAGATCAGAGTTTGGAGTAGAGGGTGAATCTAATGTTTGTGGAAACAGTTCTTTTCTGAGCCATTTAGGCACCCACAAGTGAGATGTTTAGCACCTAGGGCAGAGGAGATGCTTGCTGGGGATGCTGAGGAGAGAGGAATGGGTTAAGCTGTGCTTTCAAAAGGAGATGACTCCTGGGAAGAAGGGGGGACACCCGAAGGTGCTCAGCATTCATAGGCACAAGTCATAGCACAGAGTTGTCTGGTAGTGCTTTTGTGCAAGAAAGTTGAAGTGAGGTGCTTCTTTTTCATCCTCTCTCTGTGTATGTCTGAGTAACCCAATTCTTAGAACAATGTTTGGAAGAAAACGCACATTGAAAGTTTGTCCTCAGCTTTTGAACCAAATTTCGCATCTTCCAGGAGAATGCCCTCCCCATCGATCCGGTTCGAGTTAGTAAAAGCAGCTGTCTATGTTAGCCGGCATTAGAAAACATTTAGCGCGTGGTACGGGAGGCAGGTTTCGAGTTCCCGGGCGAAGCTGGAACTGCGTGCTCTGCTCCGTTTCCTGGTGTCTGCGGGCAAGCCCCGCTCGTTCCGCTTCAGCACCACGGGCAGCGCCGGAGCGCCCGTCCCGCGCCGCTGCCCCCGGGAGCGCGTCCCCCTCGGGCCGGCCACCGGCCAGTCCTGCGCTGCGCCGGCTGAGGGGCTGGGCACGGCTGGGCGACATGCGCTTGAAGCTCATAAAGCCAGCTGGATCTGGGACGTAGCAAAAGTAGCACGGCCAGCAGTCCAGGAAAAGGATTCTCCCGCTCGGCTCCAACCTTACGTGACCACAGGTGGAGTATTGCATTCATCCAAATCCCCAGTGTAAGAAGGACCTGTTGAGTGAGTTTAGAGGAGGATCACAAAGATACTCCGAGGGCTGAAGCACCTCTGCTGTGCAGACAGACAGGGAGAGTTGTGTGTGCTCAGCCTGAAAAGAAGACCCCAAGGACACCTTATAGCACCTCCCGGTACCTAAAAGGGGTCTACAAGAAAGCTGTGTAGGCAACGTTTTCCAGCCAGAAACAGGTTCTCATTATAAACTGAATCTTCAAAGTGCTGAGCATCTTTAGTTTGAGTAGGAGATGAGGAGCAGGAGCTCAAGAGCTCCCAGGTGGTGCTAACATTTTTCAAGACTGGGACTAAGCGCACTGATATTTTCCTTTCAGTATACCAAAAATATCTAGATGTATACTGTGCCTATCTATTATGGCAAAGTACTGCTCATAAAGATTATAGTTGTAGCTAGCTCTTGTGACTACCATTGAAGGTCTTCTATTTTGAGGGATATTTGAAATCACTGTAAAAACCATTCTGAATTAAAATTCAGCATATGACTTCTCTGCCAGAAGCTGCTAAATGTTTAATCTGAGTTTGAGAAAATCTATTAGTATATTCCCTCTTTTGTTTAGAGAGAATAAAAATAATGGTTTTGTTTTGCTTTTCTGCTCTGCTTTTTATTATCTTATGTATATTTCCCTGCTTATTCCAGATCTATGCTTGATGGATCTAAAGCTAGATTCACTTCTGTTACAGACAACTGTAATTTTCATTGTGCATGACTCTAGCCTTACATCTTGATTAGTCTGGAGTGTCTTCTGCAGTGCTGTGAGATCCAAATCTGATCGTTAGCTTTAATATGAGATTATTGTATAGTGGACATTTATCCTTGCAAAATATGCAGTTCATGTGGCAGAACTTTTGTAGAGTCATTGAATACAAAGTCACAGCAGTCATAGGTTTTATTACTGTACCATGCTGACTTTTCTGACTTGCTTATGTCTGGTACTTGGTTAAATTATACTCCCTTCTAGTCAGTATTAAAGTAGATTGCTCTGTTTTAATAACTTTTTCTCCCTTTAGTCATGAGAGGTTTTATGAGTTACACTTGCAGCTTTTTTTGGTAATGTGTGTCTAATCTTGCATGTTTTCTCAAGGTTGGGGGAAGTTTGCCCGCTTGACCCGTGCCCTCACGAGCAGCCGAGGAGTGCTGCAGCAGCTTGCTCCCAGCGTGCAGAAAGGAGAGAATGTTCACAAGCACTCAAGACTTGCTGAGGTAATTTTTTCTTTCCCCAGGAGGCTGTAAAGAAATGTTTTTAGCCTTTGTGGGTATGTAATCTCTGCACGAGCCAAGAACTGTCAGTCTTCCCTCCCCTGGGAATCTGGTGCATGTGTTGTGAAATGTGTCCTATGACAGCAGAATGAAAACAGGTGTCCCAAAGACTTCATGCGGCCTAATTGTTGTTCCATATATTAACATATATTAAAGTCTTAGAAAGGTGTTATTAAAATAATACTTTCTCACTTAGTTTCCATTCTTCTGAGGATCTTAATAAGAATAGGATCTTGGACTATCTACTTATGTGTGAGGTGAGAAAAACTCAGTCTAGTACACAAGGAAATCCTGGAGAATCCATGGCACAGTTATTCTCTGAATTAATTTATGTCTAGTTACTTTTCAGTGGGATCCCAATCCTGCATTACCAACTGGTTAAAACCTATGTTTAAGTTACTGCTTTTATGGACAGAACAGTTGTAAGATGCCACAAGCAGCACTGCAGGGAGATTAGGAAAGTGAAACCTTGTGATTTAAGTAGCGTCTCAAAGTTTTGAGATAAGCTCCAGGCAGAGAAGGCCCCTTGAAGCACTTAGGGTGTGAGGGCTTTCGCCACGAGGGGGAGAGACTGTCCTAAATTTCCTGTAGCTGTCTCCTGGGCCAGTAGCAGGGTCTCCCTGGGGAGAGGTCTGACATGGTGTTAATGACAGCACAGCCAATATGACATGGCAGTCCTGTGTCACTTCCTGCTGTGAATGCCATGGCAGCAGCTAGGACTTGACAATAATTCTTGATCTGCCTGTGCAGGTGGAGGTGTAAGGTGTTGATGGGCTCCATGAGGTCTCCGTATTGTCAGCTGTACTATACTCTACTAGTTCTGTTGTATGCGTCTCAGTTTCTATGCAAACTAAAAGTCACCTGTCTTCTTATCAAGTGTCATGGCAAAATTCTTGCAGACAGGATCTTACCTAGTCAGTATTTAATACAGAAGAACTCAAGAAGGGGAATCCAATGGAAGCAGAGAAATAACATGGATCATACTAGCACAGGGGAGGGACAGACATTCACAGGGACACTGTATTGCAGGAACACCATGTGATTAGCACGTGTCCACCCTGAGGTTCCTTTAGTGTCCTGGAATTTGGAACAGTTTTCCTCCTAATATTACTCAAGGCTGCATATCAAAGAATCCTTTCTTCTCTTTAGATCTCTGTCCTTGAATTTTAGCTCATGCTAAAATGTAGGCAGCGAAATGTAAGGCAAAGGGTCTGAGGTTATTCTGTTTGGCAACAGTCTGGACGTCAGTGACTACATGTTAATGAAACTTTCTGCAAGTCGTGCTCAACAAGTCTTTGCAAGTATTCTTACTGGCAAAGCCAATTGATTCATTACAAATAATAAAGGGCAAGTGCATAGTTTACATGTCTGAAATGAGTTTCTTTAATTGCTGACTGAATATTGAGGTCATAATTTTACAAAGAACATTAGCCCCAGCTGTAATGTTAGGTAGCTTTTTTTTCCACTGTAATTTCATTTAAGTCAGTAGAACTACACTACACAGAAAAGAGGAGTGCAGATAACCATACAGACAAGACCACCTTTCTTTATTTGAAGATATATGGGGTGCCAGGTTTCTCATTCTGCAAAGGTTTCTTCATAATATTGAATACAGGATCTCTAACAATTACCTGTTGTATTTTCAAATATTTTTCTTTTTTTTTTTTCTTCATCCCTGCAGTAGCCTATCTGAAATTTTAAAACTCATCCTTTTTCTTTTGCTACTCACTGTGACATTTCACATCAATCTTGTTTGTGTGAGAAAGCTCCACGTATATTACCGTGTTATTTGTGTTGCCCTTAGTTATTTATCACTTATATGTTTAAATGTCTTGGGAGGCTGTTGCATCCTAGAACCTGAGCAGAGCAAGCCACCACAGCTTACAATTTTTTATTGTTTATGGAACAGTTTAAGAAAGGTGTTAGTGACAGACTAACAAGCCATGTATAACACAAGCAATGTCTGTGAAGCTTCAGTCTCTGACTTTCACCAATAGGCATAGTTTTGTTTTTTTTTTTTTAGCCTGACTTCTGTAATAGCAGTCATATGAAAACTACTCAAATTAATAATGCAATTAACACAAGGGTGTTAGGTAAATGTGAGGCAACACTTTGCAATTGGAGTTTGTAAAAGTAACTGATGCATTTCTGTTGCTTAGTTGCCAAGGAGCTGATTGTAGGGATGGTTCTTCCTGGTCACTGGAATGAATAGAGTCCTGACACATGAATGAATACATGTGTAATCTGGCACCTGTGGTCTTAGCTGATGTATTCTGCACCTTTGCCAGCCAGTTCTGGGTAGATAAGACTGTGTCAAAATGAAAAAAAAAAAACTTATAGTTATTAGAAATAAAAGCAGAGAAATTATCATGGTGCTTAGCAGCACTGCTTAAGAATGGAACTTCTATCACTTTTTTTTTTTAACATTATTTACCAGGAACTTATAACTGCCATTAAAACTGCCAATCAAAATATTGTGGCTTAGCACCTAGCCCTTATTTTAGGAGCAATTTGTGTGAGTGCTTGGGAAAACAAATCAAGGGAGAGTGAGAGAAAGAAAATAGGTGCAATTGAAAACGTGAAAAGGAGAGATTAATCTGGAGATGAGTGAATGTTTGTGTTAGCTTTCTTTTTGCCCCCCAGTCATACAGTCATAAAAAGAAATAAATAATTGTAACCACATTTGATGCAATTTATGACTCCTGTCTTGGGATATATTCACCATTTTGTAAAAAAAAATAAGATAATAAAAAAATTTGCTGTATTTGAAAAAGAAAACGGTCTTGTAAATCCCACAATGAAATTTAGTGTTTCTGCTCTTGGAATATAATTCTCCAGTGTTAGAGAGCTATTAAAGCATTATGCATCATTGCCACAAATAATAAATGCAGATAATACAGCTGTATAATCTGATGAATAGTATGTAACTTAAATTATACTTTCATTAATAAGTTTCTGAAATAAATATTTATTTTATTATGATAAGACTGTATAATAGTGAAAAATCTTCCAAAACCAGAGCTGTTTCAATTATTCAGAAAATTGTAGTAGTCAAATTGTCCAGTGCACATGAAAGGAAGTTCAGCATATTGGTTTATATAGTTGTATATATTTTCTTCATGATTACTTTTATATCAGTCTCTTGGGGTTTGGTTTTTTCCTCTCCAGGAGAAGTAGCTTTACAAGCAGTTTGAATGTGGTTAGTTCATTTGGGTGTGTAACCACACCTGCCTACTTCAGCAAACCTGTCTCAGGTTGGCACTACTCTTCCTAGAAGCTGGAGAGCAGCAGGAGTTCCTTGCAATCGGGCAGAAGGTACTTTGCATTGGCCTGGGTTTGGTGGGTGGTGCAGAGAGAGTGGGGTTTATATCTCTGAGTCTCCAGATGAGCCAGGGGTGATGTGTGTGTGGGGAAGGATGGTGAGGAAATAGACTTGGAGTGGCCTTTGGCGTGAAGTGGAGCAAGGAGCTCTTCCAGCGCAGTGACCTGACAAAAGCTTGATCTCTAGCACTAAGCCCTGTGAGCCTCCTTCCATGGTTTCTGTGAAGCACTGAGCTCTTTTGTTGTGTTTTCTGATAAAGGCACATGCTTGTTCTCTGAGATTGTTAGGCTTTGTTGTAAGTGTGTTTCTCTTCCTTTGGTGAAATGAAGAATTTGGTGCTTTGAGAGCTCTTGGCTGGCACTGCCAGGCACTGTGAGACTTTTGCCAGTGTGCAAAGGAAGTTGTCTTTGCTGGGAGAGATAGTGTGAGCTGGGGCAGTGCCCTTCTTTCACCTCAGACTGTGAAATCTTCTCTAGCAGTGCCAGCAAGATGGGAGGGGTTTACAAAGGTGCTAGTGTGTTAGTGATGTAGTGAGAGGGAACCCAGGCTAGAGTTTGTCACCTCCACCCAAAAGGAGGACTGTAGATGCCTCTAGCTTTCTGCAGGTGGCTTTCCCCATCTGGTGAGTGATTGGAATCCCTGTGTCATTCCTTGATGCCTCTCTCCTGTCCCTCCATTCAGGATTCACACCCACAGTGCTGCTGCACATCCTTCTGCTGGAGACCAGCTAAAGCCATGGCCCCTGGTTTCTTTAAATAACCATTGCTAGGGCTTCTCCAGAGACCCCAGGGGGATAACAGAAGTTCAAAAGACTTATTTGTAAGGTCCCTAGCTATTAAGATAGTTTAGGGCATGTTTACTTTCTAAATAGAAAGGGAAGGAGATGAATCAGTCATCAATCCTTTTATTTTCCTGCACTGTAGCCCTTGAATCTCAAACAGGTAAGGAGAGAGAGCTTTGTATTTGGTGATGACATTTTAAACCACTGAAGCAGCAGTTTGTTGTCTTAACAAGTTGGAACTAGAAGTCTGTTTTTTTCTGCTTTCAGTTCAGTTTTACATCCTTGCAGTTCCACTGGCTTTATTTTAATTTTCTTTTTTCTCTTTATAGCAAAATGTTGGACACCATTTTTGCCAAACAGGGATTATTCTTGCCTTTTCCCCTAATTGGGTATGCAGGCACACATTAGTATATTTTCCAGTAAATTTAGTTCTGTTGATGAAAAATTTTCACAAGTTCTTGGAGTGCAAAGAGAGCAGCAGTGACCAAAAAGAGGTGCTTTATGTAAGTCTCAATCTATAACTTATGTATGTATAGGTAAGAACCATCTGACAAGAGCAAACAATATTTTTTTTCAGTTTTTAATGATTGATGTTCCTGTGCTGATTAGAATAGTTATCAAACTATTGGACTTACTCATGTCATACCAGGGGCTAAAAAAAAAAAGCTGTAGTCAGCCTGTGATTGCAGAAGAAGCAATTATGGTTTCCTGCATTTGAAGGGTGATCCTGTCTCCTCACACCAGTAAAATCTCAGCATTAGAACTGAAATCCCACTAAATGAAAAATGTTACTATGTGATGGAGGTGCTTAGTTTTGCTGATCAATTATTCCAGTGAGTGATATTGCAGAGGACTCTCCTTGCCCAGTGAAGCATATTTCAGGCTTAGGATCCTATATTAGAGCTGCTGGTCATGCAGAGCGTCATAAAAGCCAGTTGTTACTCTTTGCTTTCCAGGTGATTCAGGTACAGCTGCAATGTGTAAAAGAGAGGGCAGGAGATATTTGCAGTATTGATTTGGGCTAGAGCTTTTGTTGGGAAAAGACATCCCAACATCTGTCACTGGGACTGCAAACAAGCCTTGAAGGGAATGATGCTCTGAGTACACACATGGACTCCATACACACCCTCTGCCTCTTCCAGTCACACCAGTGGCTTTTGGGGAGTGCCTGGGCTGGCCAGTGCCTCCTGCAGAGAAGAGAGACTGAATGTGCCTTGTGCTGCTTCCAGCTCCTCTCAACACAGGATAGCTTAATTCCCTTTTATTTTAGTAGTATGGAAAACCTACATGAATCAGGGACAGGATCAATAGACTACATAATACTGCAGTGAACATGTTTGAGTTCTATGTGGGTTTGCTGGAGAAATGTTCCTTTCTCCTCTTTGTTGTCATTCTAGACAGTTACAAACAAAAATACAGAGTCCTCTTATTTTTTTTTTAATAGAATTTTTTTTCAAACTCTTAATGCCTCTGTGGTAACATGCAGGTCTGTCAGAGAAGGTCATGTTAATTCTCTTCAGGAGAATTGGGCTCAAAGTCAGCAGGCTTGCAATTCCCATTCTCATTTACACGTGTGTGAGGAACTGTGGTCTGACAGTGTTTGACCCCTGTTGTGTACACAAGTAAGTGATTATGTGAGGTTCAAAGCAGTAGGGAATTCCATCTGAGACTGTTTTGTCGAAGTAGATCTTGTGTAGCTGATTGTTTTCTTTTGTCCTCTTTGGCTGAAACTGTTGGAAAAAATCTCACCAGTTCACCAAAAAAGAAAAAAAAAAAGAAAAAAAAAGACACTCAGAAAAGCCTGGAGATAAAATCCACTTCTAAATAACTGACATTAAAAAAGCTGAGATAAGGAGAAAGAAAGGAAGACATCCTTCTACTCTAGCTGTGTTGTCTTATCTTTTCCCAGAGAAAAACAGCCTTTTAATTTCCTTCCCTGCTTCCTGTTGCTCTGAACTATGTGTAAATAAATGTGAAAAAGGAACCATGCTCCTGAATACTTCTCACTGGTTCTGTGAGTTTGGCATTACCAAACACATTTCACTCAAGCAAGCCTTCATTCTTCTTTCAGTTTTCATTTATAACTCATTCAGGGTAAAATTTGCTTTAAAATTTAACTTCTCTTTATTTGGACATATATATATGAACATATATATTTGGACATATATATAACTTCTCTTTATTCTCTTTATTCTTGATGTTGATTTCACCCTCATGTATATCCATATGTATAAACAAACACATTCTTATTCATAGATATGTGAAGGAAACTTGAGTTCCCAAGAATTACGTATGTGGTAATACTGTTTTTGCAGCAGTGGGAAGAACTGGGGAGAGAACAGATCTAAAATGGACAGCATTGACTGAGACTGCAGTTATGCAAAACAGTGCTCAGTGTGAGCATGTGCTCAGCTTGAGGTCCAGGGTTGAAAACACATGCTGGTAGATCATCTTCTGCAGCAGGGCTTTTCTGAATTCAGACCTAGCTGCAGTGTCATTCAGCAGTGCTCCTCAGCAGCTCCCCTAAATCCTGCCTTCAGTTTGGAGTCCCCTACAGCCAGAGGGACATTCAGGCATTGGAGCGTGTCCCATGAAGGGCAAAGAAGGCAGTCAAGGGTTTGGAGACCAAGTTTGATGAGAAGCAGCTGGGGGAGCTGGGATTGTTTAGCCAGGAGAAAAAGAGGCACAGGGGGACCATCCCCTCTCTACAAGTGCCTGAAGGGAGGTTGTAGCAAGGGGGAGGTCCATCTTTTCCTCCAGGTGACAAATGACAGGACCAGAAGAAATGGCTTCAAATTGCACCAGGGGAGATTTAGATTAGATATTAGGAAAAATTTCTTCACTGAAAGGGTTGTCAAGCATTGGAACAGATATCCCAGAGAATGGTGGCATTACTGTACTTAGAATTGTTCAAAAGGTGTGTGGATGTGGCATCTGGGAGAAGTTCTCCAGCTTGTTTGTTGGAGAACATGGAGGTACTGGGTTAATTGCTGGACTCAACAATCTTAGGGTCTTTTCCAAACTTAATGATTCTATCTTTCTATGGCTCTACGCCATCAGGTAGTTAAGATACTGAACTTCTCTGAATGAAAAGATGAAGTCCAAAATGAGTTTATTGAGGCTAATGATAGATATCTGTGCTCTTTGGATCTGCACAGTCCAGAGAAGAGGAAAAAAGGCCTGTGCATTCATGATACATTGTAGTTTTGAGACTATTTCAGTCAAGGTCTAGTGAAGAGTTAAGTAGCCACTATTGAAAAAAAATGTGGTCCAGTGCTCCTGCTGCTGGGCTGGAGCTCAGTTGTGTGTTGTGCCTGGTTTTGCCATCAATTCCTATTCGCACTGGCCTACCTGCCTATTCTTGCCCATTATTTTTCTGTCTCATCTATCTAGATAGCTGAAGGGGTTTTCTCTTCTCTGTTTGTCTTGGACACTCCATAATTTAGACTTAGTGTCAAAAAATAATCAATGGCATTAAAAGAAACAACTGTTCTTTGTTTGATGCTGATTTTCTTGGCTTGCTTACTATTTGGTGGTGATAAAAGGAGTTAATGGACATGAATTTTTATGAACTGTTGTACTGAGCTTGAGAATCTAGTGTGAAAAAATTAAGCATGTTTTCTTTTTCCTCTCAAATCTCTCTTGACTACAGGTATTGCAGCTGGGTTCTGAAATCCTCCCACAGTACAAACAAGAGGCACCAAAGACTCCACCGCATATAATTTTGCATTATTGTGTATTCAAGACTACCTGGGACTGGATCATCTTGATTTTAACCTTCTACACTGCTATTTTGGTCCCTTACAATGTCTCCTTTAAAACTAAACAGAACAACGTGGCATGGCTAGTAGTGGACAGCATTGTAGATGTCATTTTTCTGGTTGACATTGTGCTTAATTTCCATACCACCTTTGTGGGGCCGGCAGGAGAGGTGATCTCTGACCCCAAGCTGATTCGCATGAATTACTTGAAGACCTGGTTTGTGATTGACCTGCTCTCCTGCCTGCCATATGATGTCATCAATGCATTTGAGAATGTTGATGAGGTCAGTATACCACTTCCATCCATTTATTATTACTTGGTGGTTGTGGGGGGATGTTGGACAGAAGAGAGAAATGTATGTTTTTAAATGTATTGAATTACTGTATACATGTCTCTGGTAGCCACCCACAGCATGCACAGAAATTTGCTTATGAATCCTAGCCAGAAGGCTCATTTTTTAATTTCTGCTGTAGTTTCCGGTGTTAAAAATGCTGTGTTTATTTTCATTCTTTCTGTGAAGAAAAGGAGGAAATCCATGGTTATTTTCCTTTTTCTGCACCCTCAGGGTTCAGGAGGTCAGGTAGAGGCAGACAGCAGCACCTTTGTACAGCTCTGAGGAAAACTGCTCCATCTGACTGAGCAGGAATAGTTTGGGCTGTGTCAGGACAGTTTGTTGGGGCAGGCTGTGCTTGCTGTGGCTGATGACTGATCAGAGTAGTTCTGCTAATGCCAGCTCTTCACAGGAACAACTGGGAAGTAAAATACACATTTCTCAGCTGCTTCTAGTACACTATGGCAGGTGGCAAAGAGGCAGGCAGTGACTCACTGAATCGTCTTTGAGCACTAGAAAATACTGTGGAGATCTGTGCAGCATTGTTTGGCAACAGTATTTTTAGAGGAAGGTGAAGCAATTGAAGGTGCTTGTTTGGTAATTTTATAACTAAATGAAATCTAGATTGGAAATCTAGACTCTTCCTTAGTTCTTAATTTCTCTGGGGATAGATCACAATCCAGAAAAAGAACTAACATTTAGACATATTAATCCAGAAAACTAGTATTTTTTAACTGCTTGTTTTTTTTGATCAGTCTGCCAAGAAAATATTCCTAAGGTAAATACATTAAAGTTCCCTGCCTGAATAGTTAAGAGAGTTAATGAATTTTTAATAAAATATTAAAGAGGATTCCAGCAGCCTGCTTACTAGTTATATGTTATAAAATCATCAACTAGTTATGTCTCTGAGTTTATCTGTGACACATGCTAAAGCTGTAAGATGCAGAATCACAGGGTGGCTGGGCTTGGAAGGGATCTCTGGAGATCATCTAGTCCAAACCAGCTGCTGAAGCAGATTCACCCAGGGCAGGTTGCATAGGATTTCATCCAGGTGGGTTTGAATAACTCCAGAAAGGAGAGGGATTTACATACCTACCTCGTCAGGGCTTAGTATTTAAATCTTAGCCTGTAAAATTTAAATTTTTTATTACTTCCTTTAAAATATGCTCATGTTACAAAGGACAGCCTAGCTATCAAAAGAAAACTATGCCAAGTGAAATATAGGGAAAAACAAACACCATTACTTTTTTAAAATCACACTATTTTTTATAAAATTTAAAGTAATTTTCTCAATGACTTGAGGACAGGTAGGCAAGCTATTAAATGCAGTGAAAAAAATGTGATGTTATTTGATATTTAATTCCCTGGAGAAGTTTTCATTTTATATCAAGCTACAGACAGAAATAACACAAATTAGATCAAGCAAAAAAGCCTTGTGAAACCTGTCCTTAAGTATTTGTTTGTCATATGAAAGACCCAGACTGCAGATTATTCTGCAAGGCTTTCACATATTGCTTTGCTGTGACACTGATAGAGTGATGGAACGAGTGGCCATATGTCAGCTTCTGACATTTAGTCAGAAGGAGTAAAAATAATAAATAAAATTAAAAAATAAATGAGGCAATGACAAAAAAAACCCCAACAAAAGCAAACAAACTGGGAAGGAAGATTTTCTCACCCATTACAAGTAGAAGCAGCCTGGTGAAGATTTTGCTGAAGGAACACTTTTGACTTTAGAATCGTAATGTGACCTACAGAACATCCCTGAGGTAAATGTCTATACCAGTGGCTGTGACAGCCCTTGAACTGAACACAGATGATTTTGGACTCATGGTGGCAATTCTGCAGAGAAGTCCTTGTGTGAGTTTGTATTTCTGCAGGTTCTCCATCTCAGTGTTGCCTTGCAGCAATGAGAAGCTGATTGGTACTTCAGTATCCTCATGGCTCTTCAGCAGTCTCCTTAATCAGTATAACAGTGTTAGTTTTAGTTATTCTACTGCTATGCCCAAGGGAAAAAAAAATCAACGTTTTTCTTGATGCTGTCCTTTCAAGACTGCTCATCTGCATTTCCCACAGTGGGTTCTGACATTTGGCTGGTATAAATCGTTGCAGGATCATTAGAGCAGAGTTTCCACTGGTGAAAATTGCCATGCTTCTACTGAGGACTCATAGGCTGGTTTATGGGACCTGAGGGGTTTTGCCTGCAATGCCAGCAGAATAACAGTGCATATCATGAGGGGGTTTGGGAGGTAGATGCTGATCAGTGTTTCAAGAACTGCCTATAGAGTGAAAGATAACCTTTCAGTAAATATGAAAAAAATAAAACCTGCATTCAAGGAATCTTGAAAGCAGAATATCTTTGCCTTTTATCTTTTTTTTTTTTTTTTCTGTTGTGTAGAGCATTCCCTTGTGGGTCAACTGCTTTCCCTTCTTACTGGTTTAAATTTACCTCCCTCTTTCCCTGGATTATACACCATATAATTTCACAGCTGGATTAAGTGAGGTGCAAGGCTGCCCTGCTCAATGTGCAAATAAGCAAACAGAACTGTTATCTGTGTGTCACTTTAATTTTGCTAGAGGGAATTCCCTTAGAGCCATGGCACTGGAGTCAGTAGCTGGCCATGGCTGCTGCAGGATCTTTTTTTTTGTTTTTGTTTCTGAAGTCCTAATGAGAATATTCTTGTAAGAAATGGCCAGAGATGAAATGATACCCAGTGTCAACAGTGGTGATAAAAATGAAGAATATGAATTGCTATATTCCTGATATTTTCCATACATGATTTTAGACAGGAGGAAATGGAATCCTGCCTTTGTTGCAGTCCCTATAATGAAGGGGGACTGGGCCAGGTGGGAGCTTGCTTATTTTGCTGTCTGCTGTCATTATCTGTTTAAAAAAAAGGCACTCAAGACTCTGAGAATGTCATGGAGGAACTAACTTGACAAGTCAATTTGTTTTTAAGAATGTTGTAATTACTGTGATGGAGACGAATTGATTTACAAGGGACATGGGACTTGCAGCACTAAAAAAGTAAAAAACTGTATAATAGGGTATTGAGGGTGCCTTTTTTGCTCTGGGCAGTTTTGGGACTGTCCCATGACTTATCTCCAGATTAATAGTGAAACCATTTTTGTCATCTTTAAAATGATCCACTAATTGTAATAGATGAAACTAGAGCTGATCAATATTTTTGGCAAGCAGATACTCATTGAAAAAATCTGGTATTGGATTTTTTTTCCTATTTTGAAGTAACTTTTTGTTTTGCACGTTACTTCATTATTCCATTATAACATATAACAGAAAATATTTTCTTGAAACAAAATTAAGTGTGACTTCTGTTTTTTCAGACAATTTCAAAATTCTTTGGGGTTGTTGCAGTTTGGAACATTAGTTTATTTTCAATTCTCATTTTTCAATATAATTGAAATTCCAGTTTCCTCTCTGCATGGTTGAGAATATTTTTGTCCATAAAAATAATTTGAATTCATTAACTATTAATCAATACAACTATTATTAACTACAATTAATTCAAGAGGCACTTAAGTATGAATAGCCACATTCTACAGATGGAAGAGGAAAGAAAAAACATTAATGTCTTTGTTCAAGGCCATATAATTATACAAGAGACTGATCTCAAGTGCTGTGCTCAAAGACACAGTACAGCATTTCATATTCAGACATGAGCAGAATTCAACAAATGAAGAAATGAATAGCTGTAGAGAATTTTCTCTTGTTACCCAAATGAAAGTAGAGTTAAGGATATTTCTCCTGGCTTTTATATATGGGAAACAAATTACACAGTTAAATACAAATTATTTTCTTGACCTGACAGAATTTCAACAGAAGAAAATGTACCATATTCATATTGATTGATGAATCAACTTAATGCCAGGTTTGAACTTTCTATTGTTAAGAGAATACATCATGCTGTAATTTAGTCTGAGTAAGAAAAGAAAATATTTGTCTAAAATTTAAACAGCCCTTGAAACATGTGGTGTTGGTCTCTTTTCAAATTTGAATGATCAAAATAGCATTTGTCAGTAATTCTTTACAGTAATTAGTATTATTCCTCACTTAAGGAAGTACCACCTACTTTGGGGGGTAATATCTTTTTGTGTTCAGACATCAATCAAAAACCAAGCTTAAAGAAAATTCCACATTTTTTGCCAAGAACAGTGCAATTTAAGACTTTGAATTCCAGAGCATGTTTTTGCAGTGTCAGCTTGAGCAATTTCATACTGTGGTTTTCGTCCATAATGCCATAAGATTTAATTTATATTGGAAAAAATTTGACTTATTACATGTAATGGTGTTGTGAAATCTCATGGTAGGAGTGGAATCCAGTCATGTCACCACCATATAAATCTCTGAAACAGGGAGTTTGTAGCAGTAACTGCTATATGTGTTTGAGCCGAGCACTGTGATCAATTGTTGGCTGATGCCAAATTGAGAACCATGTATCACTCTATTAATTGAGGTAGAAGAGAAATAAATGCATAGTAAAAGATCATTAGAAAAGATACATTCAATATAAATGATGTAGTGCTTAGTTAAGTGAATAAGAGAGAAGCTAGCATGTAGGAAAAGAAGATGTACAACTTTGAAAGCCAAAATTTATGATGATAAAAGAAGTCCCAGAAAAAAATACAATATGGAATAATAGAAGTAAATGAAGATAATTAGTGCTAAGTGAGTGTGGTGCAGCTGGAAAGTAAACAGAGAGTTGAGAGAGGAAAAAATGAATGTGTTGCTGGTCAAATTGTTGGCAGCTCTCTGAGGCAGTACTTTTGCAATAGATTAATTTAAACCTTGTTAATGGGATAATCTCTCATGCTAATACAAATTAGCTATTTAGGAATTACTGAAGCAGCTACACTGGAAAGCATGCAACTTCCCTTTTTTTTAACCACTGCATTCAATAAGGGGCAAGGGAATAAATTATCATATTTACAGT